CCGGCCTCGCCGGGCCCCCTTTTGCCCCCGAGTCGAGTCAGGCCTGCGGCAATTTCTAATGAGCTCCAGGGGTAAACAGGTCATCCGGCCTCCATGGTCTGTGCCTGAGAGGTGCTTGTCACCCTCCTGTCGGCAGATCGCTGGGCAGGGCTCTGGTCATGGAGGAGGCAACTGCCATAAAGACACTGAGCAACTGCTTCTTACTGAAAGCTGCAGATCTGCCATCACGTTTCCAGAGGAATTAATGCATTTTGTCACAATAACTTCTAACAGCTACTTCAGCATGGCAGCAGGTCACCAGTGTCACGGCAGCAGGAGCTGCCACACAAAAATAGGAAGCAGCAGCTTCAGGGCTACAAAGGCTCAACAACCAAGGTGAAGGTAATCCCTAATTACCTACATGTAGGAAGAAAAAGAAGAAAAAAAAATATTGAAGAGCCTTAGTAAGCCCCAACTTTATGCTGTCCTCTCGGCTCCCCTCCCCTCAGCAATACCCTGCCCAGTTCTGCAGCACCAGAACACCCAGGGCCGAAGGCACAGTGCTGCAGGGAAGCTCAGGACACAAATAGAGGAGACACGGTGTGCTCGCTGCACAGGGCTGGAAGGAGCCCGACCTTTCCTTAGGCAGCTCCCACTCTGTGCAAATGGCAATTTCACTGTTGCCTGAAACTTCCTGTTAACAAGGTGAATACAATACAGGAGATTGAGTTCACAACCATTTATCTCACCTTAAGCAGCGTGACAGCATGTTTTGTTCCTGACTTGGTCCACATGGGCATCATTCCCAGTTTTACTGCGACAACACCAACTCTCATGGAATCTGTAGATTGAAAGAGAACAGGGAGGCAACTCCACACTCAATATTGGGAAGAGCTCATCTCATCACCAGCCAAGTCACACTAACTCAGACCTTCCCTAAGCAGTTGAAGTAGGAGAGAAAACATCACCAAGTCCTACAGGTAGGCTGGTATTCACCTGTTCATCAGTTTTAATCACATGAGCAGTTAAGGTCTATTTGTTCCAGCTGAGTTTGACAGAACATACGAAACAGTTCACTGTTAAGTTCAGAACAACCAATGTTTCATATTAATTTAAGAAAATCCAACAGCCATATAGCCGATTTCACTAGAGCCAACCTGACTATTGAAGTTTACTGTAGTAGGTTCCTCGCAACTTGAGATATTCCATGATGCTATTAATCATTGTCCTGAGGACACAATAAACCTACCTGCGCTCGAGTAAAAGCACTCACGCTTTTTGCTGAATCCTCTTCTGCTTTCAAGTATCACAACACATAACACTGTGCCAGGGGATGTGTAAGGCCCTTTACCTGTCCAAAGACACAGAAGGGGCCAAGAAGACAGCACACAATGCCCCCGTGTCACACTGCTGGAGGAGAGCGATCCTTTTCCCTCTGGGAACAGGAACAGGCTCACAGCAGAGCTCAGCTGATCCACGAGTTGCAGTGGCTGTAGCAGAGCTCACCGACAATTCCTTCCTTGGGCAGCAAACCAGACTGAGATGCTGGGTAGGATGTTGTCCTGCAGGATTCAGACTCTGGTTAATATGTTCGGCTCCTTTAGCAATCAATAGGTAACAGGGAGCAAAAGATTCTTTGTGTTGCTACCTGGGCACACATTTCCCAATGGCTCTAAACTTTCAGTACTCAGCAACAGCAACAAAACACACACCTACTGACCTGCAGCAGAGCCCCAGGCATGCCTTTTCAGAAAAAAAAAATGAACACATCCCCTGACACAAGAAGCTGTTGGTTCACCTGAGACACACAGACTTGGTATTTGCCTAGTTTTATCTGGTTTTATTTGACCTAAGATGAAAAATGAGCCTACTGATACCAGTACCATATTATTGAAAGGTGAGGGACATGAAAAATGAGCATTATCATACAGGCAAATCCTCCACATTTGGCCCATTTTCTTTGCAATGGCTCTCCCACAACAGCGTGGAAATCCAACAGACACATTTGTAGCTGTGGAGACACTTCTCCAGAGAGCGTGCAAGAGATCTTCTGAGAAGTTCAAAGCAAGGCGAGGAGTCACTGTTGCTGTGTCGCCCAACACTGCCCACACAAACACCCCTCCCCGTACCTGCTGACCCAACCCTCTGGGGAGAGGCAGTACCCAGCCTCACCTCTAGAAGATGTTGTCGGGCATCTGCTACGTTAAACTCTACAGCAAAAGGAGAGAAGGTGAAAAGGAGGAACAAAAATAAGCTCACACCACTACAGAGCAATGCATTTTCTTGGTTTATTTTGGATTATTCTTCACGGATACCCCCAGACACCAAGGCAGAGTTGGCCAGAATACTCCCCACAGAGAAACAGTTGGGTAGCATTCAGAAGGTTAGATGTAGCCACCTTCCAAACAACAGCTCTTCAGAAACACTGAGGTTTTTGCAGCAACAATCGCTGAAGACTGTTTGGTGTGTTTTACAGCCTGCCCCCAGACTCACCTGCTGCTTTTAATACATGTCAGGAAGAGACTGGTAAATCTTATTTACTGACCCAAATGATGCTACCTAAAGCATTCGAGTCAGTGGGGCAGACCACAATTCACAGGTTTACTTTCACACAGCATTGCAAAGTTTGGGAAAGTAACCAAATGGTGTGTTCTCAATGACACAAAGAACATTATGTATATGTGACAGATGGATCCGTGAACTGGAAGACATCCTCATCGTACAGGTCTTCTGGGAGTTCTTCATCTCCATCAGCAAAAAACGTAGGGAATGGAGGGTTTTTGTTGCAGTCCTTGTAAGTAGGCAATTTGCTATCTTTGACCTAAAAAGCAGGAGGGGGAAGGGTGAGGTTAGTAAATCTTACAGAAGACTTTAAGACAGTGACACACAAGAAACTAAAGAAAGCATCTTGTGTAAGCCAAAAGCCCACTCGCATTCACATTACACTTGCTTATATGAAGAATTCCAGGTACAATAATCAGTTATGTAAACATCAACCCCAGCCATTGAATTTAACATTTTGTATCTAGCATTAAAGAGCTTTTAATTAAACAAACAGAACAAAAACCCCAAAGAGAATTTACCACTTGTGTAACAAATTTATCGCTACTGTAAAAAAACAAATCAAGTGTCTCATGATCTCATTGCTCACTATTTTAAAATATCATTAAAACAAATGTAAATACAACTTGTTTAATCTGTGTTTATTATCCACAGTACTTTCCTACGTGACATACCAAGTTGCATTACGCAGAGTAATCACTTCAACAACCAAGACATACTTTTGTATTTAGGATGCAAACTAATTATGACAACTAACTGTGCAACGATATACACACACACACACACACGCTGTACTCAGTCCCTCCAGCAACTGCAGAGTCAAGCACCTCCAGTTCTCCACTTGGAAACAGTACCCAAGTCTGTCAAACATGAACCTTTAGAAAATTTAATTTCCAAGAGCTGCAGTGCCAGAGAGAAATTACTTTGCCTTACTGACCTCTCTACTTGTGGAAAGATTTAAAATCTAGCCCCTAAAACTCCAATCTCCAAAGAAAATTAGTAGCTAGAATTATCAGCAAAAAGCAGTTTGTCTGGAGTAGAAGATAGAAAGCTGGTATCTCTGAAAGGAAAAAAAAAACCAAAACAGCTGCAAGTTCTTAAGCAATGAAATTTTACTTCAAATTAAATTCTTCAGTTCTATACTGTTACCTATGATCTTCCTCCTGAGCTGTATTAATCTCTTTCAGACACTATACTCAACTGGATTCAAATAACTAAAAGGACAAATTCATTAGACAAAATTTTAGTATAGAGAAGATCAGCTCTTCCTCTTATTTTTTAAAGAACAGGAAAGCTTGTTCTTACTTGGTTGGACATAAATCTCACATAGGACAATTATGATTTACACCTCTAGAGAGGTTTGCTGCTTACCAGGGGCTAGGATTAAACATGTTACTGAGAGACTACCAAATCTGGTACATCCCACAGACTGTTATCCATTGCTGCTGTTTCACATGAGCACCAGTGATGCAGCCAGAAGGAATTAAAAGGGGCCACAGGGCCCTAGGAGAGGCAGTGAAGGAATCAGGTGCCCAGGTAGTATTTTCACCAATCCTCCCAGCCAAAGAGCTGACAGAATCAAGAAAATCAATGAAAGGCTACAGTAGTGGAGCCACAGCCGGCTTGAGACCACAGGTCTTGCTCTGAGAAACCTGGTCTCCTGGGGGCCAATGGGGTACATCTTTCAGAGAAAGGGGAGAACATACCTGGACAAAGACTAGCCAGTCTAGTCAGCAGGGCTTGAAACTACATTTGTCGGGGCAGGGGATTCGCAATCCATCCCGCTCTGAGACCAGTGCTGGAAGCAGAAACCATGGCTCCAGGATCGCAGCCAGCGAGAGAGCACGTGAAGTGCGAGACAGTGGATTCCAGCCAGGGAGCATTCCAGCCGGTAAGTCGGATTCAACAGGGGCCACACTTCAATGCCTCTGTGCAAATGCACAGAGCATGGGGAACAAACAAGAGGAGTTAGAGATGTGTGCGTGTCTACAAGGTTTTGATGTTTTAGGCATCACAAGACATGGTGGGACGGCTCCTGTGACTGGAGTGCGGCAATAGATGGGTACAGGCTCTTTAGGAAAGACAGGCAGGGAAGAAGAGGAGGTGGGGTCACCCTCTATGTCAATGACCAGCTGGAATCCACAGAGCTTGGCCTGGGGATGGATGAGGAGCTGACTGAGAGCTTACAGGTCAATGGGTCAGGGTTAGAGGAAAAGCAGAGGAAGGTGATATCATAGTGGGGATCTGCTACAGGTCACCTGACCAAGATGACTGAGGCGCCCTCTACAGACAGATAGGAGCAGCTTCATGTTCATAAACCCTGGTCCTCATGGGAGACTTCAATCACCTGGCTATCTGTTGGAAGGACTCCGGCAATTCAGGACATTCCTGGAATGCATTGATGACAGTTTCCTTCTCCAGGTGGTAGAGGAACTGATGAGAAGGGGTGTCATGCTTAACCTTGTTCTCACTAACAAAGAGGGGCTGGTGAATAAAGTGAAGCTTAAGGGAAGCCTTGGCTGCAGCAACCACAAAATGCTAGAATTCAAGCTCCTCAGGGCAACAAGGAGAGTGCACAGCAAGCTCATCACCCTGGACCTCAAGAGAGGAGACTTTGACCTCTTCAGGCATCTGTTAGTGGAGTACCATGGGATGAAGCCCTGAAAGAGAGAGGGGCCCAAGAAAGCTGGTCCATGTTCAAGGACCACCTCCTCCATGCCCAGGAGCAATGCATTCCAAAAAAGAGGAAGGCAGGCAGGAGTGTCAGGAGGCCTGCGTGGATGAACAAACTCCTGGACAGGCTTAAACATAAAATGAGAATTTACAGGAAGTGGAAGAAAGGACAGGTAGACTGGGAGGAATACAAGGAAGTGGTTCAAGCAGGCAGGGATCAGGTTAAGAAAGCTAAAGCCCAGGTAGAATTAAATCTAGCCAGGGACATCAAAGGTAACAAGAAAATCTTATGTCAGTGACAAAAGAGTCTAGGGAAGATGTGGCCCCTCTCTGGAAAGGAAAAGGAGAGCTGGTCATGAAGGATTTGGAGATGGCAGAGGTTCTCAACAACTTCTTTGCCTCAGTCTTCACTGGCAAGGGCTCTAGCCGCACTGTCCAAATTGTAAAAGCCGAAGGCAGGGGCTGGGAGAAGGAAAAATCACCCACTGTAAGTGAAGATTAGGTTGGAGATCATTTAAAGAATCTGAAGGTGCACAAGTCCATGGGACCTGATGAGATCATCCACAGGTCCTGAGGGAACTGGCAGATGAAGTTGCTAGGCCGCTTTC